CCCCTGACCAAAAATCCTGGCTACGCCTCTGTAACGACCATATAAACGTAACAATATAACCGTTCTATACGGGAAGGTATAGGCGGATTTATTATATAGTAGAGAGTGAGATACTGAAAAATACACAGTGAGATATTTTCGATATCTTTCTTCACAAGTGAAGATATCGATCACGTGACAATTTGACAATTTGCTTTTGAGCGTGAAAATCCACAATTTTTTGCTTGGGACTATATAATAAACAGAACATTACACAGTGGCTTGAAGATATCACTATTATCTTCTGATCTCGTGTTAAAAACAATACTTTACTCAATCGCTGCGCTCGTTCGTAAAATAGTGTTTTCACCACTCGAAGATAAAAGTCATATCTTCGCGCCGCCGTGTAATATCCTCTATATATGCTTGGTTTAATACCATTGCAAAAACATAATTTGTTGTTTTGTATTTTAACAAATTTGGAGGCTTTTAGGTTTCGTCGGACGTCACAATATACATGCATCCGACCCTAAAGTCAAAGTCATCGAACATGTTGTCAGACGGTTCTGTGACTGATATTTCAAAGCCTTCCAACATTGCAAAACACTTAAGCCTGGCGTACACTTGGTCATAATTGTTATGATCCAATCATGTTTGACTATCGTATCGGCCATCTTGATATGCATGTTCCCGACCATTACGACTAAAGGGAAACTTTATTATAATCTCAGTTTTCACATCAGTCTTGATTTCACTCTTCAGATGCGCAAGGCAGCGCAAAATATGTCCTCCCTCTAAATTTCACAAAATGTGTTGTTTCATATTAATCTAGAAAAATGTCAGGTAAATTACCTGGATCTATATATCTGTGGAAGCTTCGAATAATCCCATTTCTCAGTGAATACTCTGCAATAGCCATTTCACATGGCATAAATTTGTCATCAGGCATATCACACAAGCTCATAAAACCAATCATGAGGAATCTCTCATTGGAAACATCTATATAAATAAGAAAATATGGTGTAATTATTAGATTTTATAAACATAGCCACACAAGGGTTAATCCTGTAGGGAGGAAAAACATGCATGCAAGGGCAGAAAGCTTTGCACAAACAATTTTCCTAAGTACTGAAAGTACAGTATGTGATTTATCACACAACTGCAAGCAACTGAGAGAGCATTTGGGCTCACAGCACAAACAAATAATTAATTTGGCATTTTGAAAGCCTTGGAAAACATGTCCATTACTGTCAACATGATACTGAACAGTGGATCTTTCCCTTTGATGGGTTGTTAAGTCCCCCAATTCCTTGGGCTGGTTGTTCGAAAGCTGCATGGTTAGCTCAATTCAGAGTTAAGCTAAATTTCAAACTAAATTTCATGACAGATTGTTTATAAACTTGGAAATATTTTTCCAGAAATCTTTCTGGATCAGTAGAAGTTTTATTTTCCGAAGTTTGGAAATGTGCAGACTTGCACAAATACACAATACCCAGGGTTAGCACTAATCATGGTTTTAACAACCAGCCCCTGGTGAATAAAAATACTACAATACCTTTGCCAGTCCATGATTCGACAACTAGTTTTCGTTCTTTCCTTCTCCTTTGCTCATTTAACTGCACTGTATCAACACGTTGCTGTAAAGTTATAAATTTATTGCTATTTTTACAGAAACAGTAGTGTAGTTCTCACATTAAGAAATGTTTCTTATAAATATTCCAAGATCTTTTCACATTGACACTGTTTCTGGATTGAACTCTTGTTTTACCCAATGCTTTTGGGGTGTAGGTAAAACATGGCCCTAGGCCATGGCCCAGGCCATGGCCCAGTGTATGGCCCTACCCTTGGCCCACCTGTTTTTTGTTTAATTTTAATGTGTAAATTATGTCAAAATTATTTTAACGTGTTGAGTTCATATACGTTTCATATATATTATAAAATATTGATTTGAGCTCATTTCTAAAATACGAAATCAGTTTTGACCAGTCACCTGTGCGTTTTACGATTAGTACATAATATGGACTATTACATAAAGTACGAACAACCAAACAACACATGATCACGTGAAAGAATCAATGTCGGCCGCATGGCGCACAACTGCATCATTTCATGGGGTGAGTTTTTATCGTTTCTTTTAGCTTTTTGCTATCAATACGAGCAGGTGCTTGTCTTGCAATTTAACGAATTTGCAGGTGCTTGTCTTGCAATTTATAAATGTTTGAATTTTAGAAAATCGTGTTTAAAATAAAAAAAATGAAGCGATCGAGGTGAGTTTGAAGAATTACATTTGGACGCTGTTTATTTAATATGTTGAAATATTCACACTTTACGAACTAGATAATTATGTTATTGATGATCAAAACCTTTTAAATACAAATAACACGGGATTTACAGACTTGAAAACAAGTCAAAAAGTTCCCAAAGTTGCAAAATTATGCGGATTCCGAATATTCGGAATTATCTAGTCTGTAAAGTGTAAATATGTAGGCTAAATATTTCAACATATAAACAGCGTCCAAATGTAATTCTTCAAATCGCTTCATTTTTTTATTTTAAACACGATTTTCCAAAATTCAAACGTTTATAAACGTTAGAGAGTTCTCAACATTAAATTGCAAGACAAGCATCTGCTCGTATTGATAGAAAAAAGCTACAAGAAACGATAAAAACTCACCCCATGAAACGATGCAGTTGTGCGCCATGCGGCCGACATCAATTCTCTCACGTGATCATGTGTTGTTTGGTTGTTCGTACTTTATGTAATAGTCCATATTATGTACTAATCGTAAAACGCTCTGGTGACTGGTCAAAACTTATTTCGTATTTTAGAAATGAGCTAAAATCAATATTTTATAATATATATGAAACGTATATGAACTCAACACGTTAAAATAATTTTGACACAATTTACACATCAAAATTAAACAAAAAACAGGTGGGCCAAGG